TTTGAATTTTATATACAGTTAGTCCTCAACATACAACCACAATTGAGCCCAAAATTTCTGTTGCTAGGTGAGAAATGTGTTAAGTGAGTTTTGCCCCATTTTAAAGACTTTTCTTGCCACATTTGTTAAGTGAATCACTGCAGTTGTTAAATTAGTGACACGGTTGTTAAGTGAATCTGGCTTCCCCATTGATTTTGCTTGTCTGAAGGTCGCAAAAGGGGATCACATGACTCCAGGACACTGTAACCGTCATAAATGTAAGTCAGTTTGTCAAGCATCTGGATGGAAATCACGTGACCATGGGGATGTTGCAACGGTCGTAAGTGTGAAAAATGGTCGTAAGTCACTTTTTTCAGTGCTGTTGTAACTTTGAACGGTCACTAAGCAAGTCGAGGATTGCTTGTATATATTTATGTTTTAATATTTTATTTTTACACCACCCAGAGTCCCTCTGGGAGGCAGAGGAGCAGTTCTAAAATTCAAAATAAATAAATAAACAAATACATTATTGCACTTTTGATTCAATATACACACAACTACACCAAGGAAGCTTTAGCATGTAGAGCTGAGCATGTCATCCAAAGAACTCAATTTCTTCCATATGCAGTTTACTCAGATGCTTGCATTATGCGTGTATTAAAATGTGTGGAAATGAACATGTTGCAGCAATTAAACAGTTCACTTTTTCAGAAATCAAAAAGCAGGGGGAATATCTGTTACACCTTAGAGAGTAAATAAATGATATTTCTGCCAATGAAATGACTGCTGTGTTCCCAATGCTTTAAGACACAGTAGAAATTGATTGAAAATCAACAGGAGGAAGAAGCCTGAGCATCAGCAAAGAATGCACCTATAAAAATAAACATCTGTATCCCCCAATTGGAGAAATATTCCCTTGTCCTTGCATTTGAATGTTGTACTACTTAACCCCACCTCTGCATACCAGAATTGTAATGATCTGGTACTGTAAACAGATTCATATAAGCTTTCCTACTACATCCCTTTTATAAAAAGGGTTGAACAGTGAAGGTTAGGGTATCATTCATCACCATTTTTACTCAAATCATGTATCATTTTAAGGAGTAGAAAATTATTTTTCCTAGGGGAAGGGGAGAGACCCTGGGAAAAAAAAACCCACTTTTTTTCTTCTTTTGCTATATATACACATATACATATGGATTCCTAATATGACCGAATTTTAAATACCTAATATTAAAGGAGAACAAGTTACTCAATGATGTACGTACTGTAGGAAGTTAGCACCCACCCCTCTCCTAAATAAAATATTCTAGGAAATATTAAAAAGGCAGACTATTATATTTCCCTGGATGAGAAATCGAGAAATGTGTTTTTTAGGCAGGAAACAGACTTACTCTTAATAGCCCCCACCATCCTCAATAGTCCACAGCATATGTCAGCACGTAAGAGATAAAGAGATAGCTAGGTCTATTCATAGGCAAATGCAACCTCAAGATCCAACAAAGGTAGGATTAGCCCTCTACCCATCTAGCAACAGAACTCGCCACATGGTATCTGGGAAGATCACCCAGCAAGGCTCAACCAAGCCTGGGACACGGGACAGCCTACAGAGTTGCCCCAGCATGGCTCCATGGGAGTCTAACATCGATGGTTCTCCAGTGCTGCTTAGAAGTTTGGATGGCTGGTAGCCCATTAAGCCAAGGGGAATACCAAGAGATATAATCAGAGACACCATCTTGATTTTTTTGAACTTCTTCTGGCAGATGCTGTCCTAACCTGGATGACTGAGAATCTCCATAGATATTTCTCACATTTATGTTATGGCTTTTAACCTCCTTTTGAAGGACTCTACATCCCTAATAATTTGAAATAAAGGTTTCTACGTACAAAGAACCCTTTGATATATCAACATCATTCCAGAACATAATTGTTAGCTCTTCCGTTAGCAGTTTGTCCATTTTTTTTTTTATTTTGAAGAGCATAATGGTCGGAATTAAAATTCATCACTTCCCTCCGACCACACAAAAATGTCATAAATTGAGGCGATAAATTACCGCTATGGGTTGCTGTGAAATTAACACTTATATATGGGAAATAAAACTGAAAATTTATAGCAGCAATCAATCTGCTTTAATGTATGTAACTTCATCATCTGTTTTATTTACTTTCTTCCCTTCTCTAACAAAAAAAAAAAAAAAAAAAAGCACCCTTTTTCAGGAACTGCGAAATTGAAAAGCAAATGGCTTGTTATGAATGATATTCTAGCCATTGCAAAAATGTCACATTACAAGAACTATTAAGGGATGTAAGGCTATTGATTAATGAAGACTGCACGAGGGTGGAAAAAATATCATTGCCATGCGAGTAACTGCTGGGGGCATAAGCATTGAAGCTTAAGATCTGTAATATATCAATAATATAATTAAGGGCACCTTTTCTAAACTCACATTCTCCAGTGATACTGAAAATGTTCAATTTCCACAGCTGGAAGGCACAACATTTGGACAAAGCTACATACGGAATTTACATGACCAGAATTTCAGTACAAATGGAATCAGCATATCTAACATACAAAGATTTAAACGGTGCTGGAACTACCTAAAAAATGTTAGCAAATATAATAAAATCTATTTTGATGAGAAGGGAGCGCATAACCCATTATTAAGGAAACTCGGTCTTTAATTTGAAATAGCACACATTTAAAACATATATTTAATTCCACTTGAGAACTCTGAAATAATTACTAAAGCATGTAGAGCAGATTTTCACAGAGGCGTTTCCTTTTCCTTTTTTCCAGTTTCTTCAAATATTCCTGAGTTTTGAAAGCACGGCCTGTGTGATAGAACTACTCAGAAAATTGCATTTGTATCACTGATATTTGTTAATATTCCCTGCTTCGTGCTTTGTATGAAGCATTTTCTGTATCTTCTATAAATATACAACATCAAATGCTTGTTAAATCATTTTAAACATTGTGGGCAAGTATTTGGTTTCAGAAAATTACTGATCTTCACATTTCTGTTCTGAATTATGGTTTATTTGACCTAAAAGTAAAATAGGATTTCTTTTACATATTTACATAGTACAAATAACAAATTTTCTAAAGACAATTGTCACTGTACGTGATACCTCATATAAATGAGCAAAATAAGACTCCATTTTCAGACAATGAAATCCAGATTATAACCATAGGCAAACTGGCATGCCTGAATTCAGTTGTTATGTAAAGGCAATTTATGTTTACTTTGGTATCGAAGCTGAAAAGCAATGATATTTGACTTAAGAAGTGTTTTCAATGGTAGAAAGGATATTTGAGAGAACCTTCCAGGATTATGTACAGTAGGTGCTGTTAGAAACTTCACCACAATCTGGTTTTAAATTTAAGGAGTTTGCACGTTATCTATACAAGAAAGTACTTTTTTTGTTGTTGTTCAAATCTGAATAAAAGTTCCAGACAGTTTTAAATGACAAGCTGTGGGTTGGAAGTATAGAAGAAAACCATGGGAAAGAAAACAGAATTGACAAAAGATTTGTTATGGCCAGTGCTTTATCTAAGAGATGTTGCCGCACTAAGAATGAAAATATGGGGTCCTGGGGTTCAAAGCCACAGTATGTGCATACCAATTGGGAAACACCAACCACAATTTTGATCATTAAATCAAAATTGTTTGCTCAGGATGTTTACAATGACCCAAAAGAAGGGGAATGAAGACCGAGATAGAGCGATGAAGAAGAATGGAAAGAGATACTGAATAGTTTTTAAATGTTGTCCATCTCTATGTATAGAAATGACTCAAGTGAATAATATAAACAATATATATAATAGCTGTCCAATTAAAAAAAAATATTCCAGAGGCTTCCAATCAAACCCTTACATTTAACTGGAAGTAATCCTGATATGTCTGTTACTGCATCTGTCAACTCCGAAGCGAACATTTGTACGTGCAAAAACCTAATGCTTGATTGATTTGTCAAATTAAGAAATCTCTAGTTATGGACAGAAAAACTTTGACAAATCTTCTCAAGTCAGCATCGATGGAAAAATCTGAACTGTTTACATATAAACAATTAATTGTTAATCAATTAATCTTAGATAAAAACAACAAATATTACTGGTACTGCATCTATTTTGAAAATTAATAAAAGGCCAGTTGATATATTTTACATGGAAAAAATATGAGGAACAATTCATATGCAACAGTAGCTCCATCTATATTATGGTTTACAAACCAAGCCCCGAGGCCCGGGCTTGCCAAAGTGGGGCGGGAAGGCACACGGGTGAAGGGGGGGTGTCGGGACCACATTGGCGGTGACCACGGAGCACCAGTGATGGGGGGGTGTCAGGACGGCTGCTGCAGCAACGGAGGTGGCCCAACTGTGCGACTGGGAGGTATGGCGTGGACGGCTGCTCCTAGCCACGATCAGCTTGGCTCAGCGGCCTCCGCTGCAGTGGACGTAGCAACAAGGCTCAGCTGCGAAACGCAGAGGCGTGGCCGCATGAAGAACACAACAACTAGCTGTTCCAGTCCGACAATCAGCTGGGCCAGGGCCTCGGTGCATGACAAACACCAGGGCGAGGTCAGCAAAGGGAAGAGGTGTGGCTTGCCTACTTAAAGGCGCTGGGAGGGGAAAGCTCCCAGTGCTGACTTCGCATCTAACAGACTTGCTAACAGACTTTATAGACTGCTGTTTTGCTACTGAATGACCTCATTGTGTGCCAGAGTCCGGCTGAATAAACCCAGTTTGCTTCCTCACGTGTGGCATTTTCCTACTGGTGTCAGTCCGGAGCTTGGACATTTGAGACCAAGCTTCAGAAATATGTGTGAATCTGGCAATATTTCTGTGTCAACTTGTTTCAGTGTTCCAGCTTCCTGAAAACTAACCACCAATAACTGTGAACATTCTCTGAAGCAGAAGAACAAAAGACAGTTGAAGGAAAAACAATATACATAAAGAAAACCTCCCACAAGATCTATACAACCAATTCTTGAGAGCATGAAAAACAAGGAAGTATCTCCTACCGGTTTTGGTGTTGATGGCAAAAAAGTTTTGGGGGTTTCCACTTGTAATCCTGTATGTAATCTTTTCAGTAGTGCTGGAATCAGGATCGTGTGCCTGTATCTGAATGACTGAAACATCCTTCGGGGAATTTTCCAAAACAGACGGATAATAAATGGGTTCGGAAGTCAAAGGTGCGTTGTCATTTACATCTTCCACTTCAATGAAGACCTCGATGGTGGTATAAAGCGGAACAACTCCACGGTCTGCGGCATACACAGTTAGCCAGTAGGACTGAGTTGTCTCTCGATCAAGAATATCACCTGTGTATATAACTCCTGCAGAACGAAAGGAGAAAAAAAATATGTGGAAATGCAGAAAACAGCAATGAATCCATATTGTTTCTTGTCCTGCCTACAGGTGCTTTGGCAAATAAGTTGACCCCCTCAGTGGTGGGTTGCCCCCAGTTTGGACCGGTTCACAAGAACCGGTAGTAAAACTGGCGGGAGGCTCCGCCCACTGACTCAGACATCATCATAGGTGATCTGTGCATCCAAGCGCGATGCGAACTGGTAGTAAAGGTAAGTAGAATCCATCCCTAGACCCCCTCCTCTTTGTGGTAGTCCTTCAGATATTGGAAGACTGCTATCATTCACCCCTAGTCCTCATTTACTCTAGACCAGGGGTGTCAAACACGCGGCCCACAGGCCGGATCCAGCCTGCGATAGGCTGTGGAGACGGCCTATGGGCTCTCCCGGAAACAGCAAGGGACTGGTCCCTGCTGCCCCAGGCCTGGCCAGGCCCATCCAGTTGGCGGCGACGACTAGGCCACACCCACCCCAGTCCCAAGGACAAACAAAATCCCGATGCGGCCTGCAACGGGATCGAGTTTGACACCCCTGCTCTAGACTGGCCAAACCCAAATCCTGCAACTGTTCTTCGTATGTTTTTGCTTCCAGGCCTTTAGTCATCTTAGTTGCTCTTCTTTGTACTTTTCCCAAAGTCTCAACATCTTTTTCGTGATGTGGCGACCAAAACTGTAATTTGTAAGTGTTTTCTCCATGGTCTATTTGGAAAGGTTGACAACATCAGTGCAAAAACTTGGCCCTGATAACCACAGTCTTAACAGTAATATTTCCATAACTGAAACCCCTTTCTCAAAGAGCGAATTTGTTTTCCAATAAGACACACATATTTTAGCAGGCTATGTCACCTTCTCACTTGGATATTCTCACCCACCCAGCCATAAAGCTCTATTACTTCCATTCCCACCTACTGCACACTGTCTTCTTCCCATCCACCACATGCACTTGTAATCCCACCCCCTCACCAACATACTTTTGGCTTCTTCTCTTTCTCACCATGTGTCGTCTTCTCTTTTATCCCCCCCCACCCCAATTTATTTATTAATGGAACTTGTATGCCGCCCTATCTCCAATGGACTCGGGGCGGTTCACAACAATTAAAACAAAACAAACAAACCATTAAAACAAAAATCCAGGTTAAAATGAACAATTCCCCGTTTTTTGTTTCAAAAGCTCTATGTTAGGGAACAGTGCAAATGGGAACACATTCCGATTTGGGGGTTATATGGGTCTCAAAGAACCCTTCCAGTTTTTTTTTTTAAAAAATAACATCATTGTCCAGAATATTCCTGTACATCCCCAGCTAAAGTTAAATTGGAAAATGGACCACAAGTTTTAGTTTTTCCATATTTTCTATCTCTCATCATCCATTCCTCTGGAAAAACTGTACCATGTTGATGTGTTTTACAAATACTCTGCATAAACAACAGAGTCCCCTTATACTTGATTCAAATAAGCTGTGTTCCCATTCACAAGTTCAAAACACTCTGAAGGCGTTTGAGCACATGCCAATGTAATTCTCCTGTGTGATAGGAAATTAAAAACCGCGATCTGTTCCCAGCTTTCTATAAATGGTTTCTTCCAGGTTTCCACTACAGATTGGTTGCAGCGTATTAAGGATGCTGCAAATGGATTTTTCTAGCAGGTTTAGTGATCTGTAATTCCTTCCTGATAAAGGTTTGAAACTATAGGTTGACGCAGCCTTCCATCCTTCCGAGATGGGTAAAATGAGGACCCAGATTGTTGGGGGCAATAGGCTGATTCTGTAAACTGCTTAGAGAGGGCTGTAAAGCAGTATATAAGTCTAAGTGCTATTGCTATAGTAATCTTCGGTTTACAACCCCAATTTCCTTTGCTAAGCAAGATGGTGAGTTGAGCCCAATTTTGCAGCCTTTTGTTGTTGTTGTTGTTGTTGCCATGGTTAAATCATGCAGTTGTAAAGTGAATGTGGCTTCCCGATTGGCTTTCCTTGCCAGAAGTTTAGTTTAGTTTAGTTTAGTTTAGTTTAGTTTAGTTTAGTTTAGTTTAGTTTAGTTTAGTTTAGTTTAGTTTAGTTTAGTTTAGTTTAGTTTAATTTAGTTGATTTATATACCACTCTACTCAGTGGTGGGTTCCTCCCGGTTCGGTCCGGTTCGGCCGAGCCGGTAGTGGTGACGATATGACCGGTTCTCTCCCCCCGCCCTCCCACCCCCCCCACATTATTCTTACCTTTTATTTGGTCCCACCCCCAATCTATTGCTGCCTCCTGAGTCCCAGCTGATGACTAGAGGGAAAAAAACTGTTTAAACTCTTGCCGCAGGGCTTCAAAGGGCCGTCCTACAGCTGATCAGTGTTAAAAGCAAACAAATGAGTCGGGTCGTAAGTGCGAGGACCTTCCAGAAATGACTCTGACCAGCTAGCCACCCCCACCTAGTCACATGACCTCCATGCCACACCCACAAAATAAGCCACGCCCACAGAACCGGTAGTAAAACAATTACTGGCTCTACTCCCGAAGGACTCAGGGCGGTGAACAGCCACAAGATAAAAAACACATAAATACAAAATTTAAAAACAGAACAAAACCGAATTAAACAATTTGGCCGAAGACAGATTTAAAACACCCCAATAAATTAAAAACGAATTAAAATTTGCGTTTTAAAAAGAGAAAAAAAGTTAGGCTAGGAAGGTTGCAACTGGATTTGATTTAAATCACGATTAGAGAGCCGAGGTGGCGCAGTGGTTAGAGTGCAGTACTGCAAGCTACTTTAGCTGACTGCTAGCTGCAGTTCGGCAGTTTGAATCTCACCAGGCTCCAGGTTGACTCAGCCTTCCATCCTTCTGAGGTGGGTAAAATGAGGACCCAGATTGTTGGAGGCAATATGCTGGCTCTGTAAACCGCTTAGAGAGGGCTATAAAACACTATTTAATTTAATTTAATTTAATTTCCAATTTATATACCGCCCTTCTCCCTGAGGACTCAGGGCAGTGTACAGCCAAAATAAGAACATAGAATACAAATATTAAAAACAGTTAAAAATATATATAAATTTGGCGATATGAAGCGATATATAAGTCTATGTGCTATTGCTATTTAAATCACTAGTAAAAAGGCATGATTTAAATCAACTTGATTTAAATCATAATTTTTAAAGAGCAACTGTCATCTCTGTCCTCCTCCTCTGACCTGCTGTTGACTCACTGACAGTCCCAATATTGCAGAATATATAGTCTCATGCTACATAACTAAGCTCCATTTTACACTGAATAAACTAAATAATCTTAAATAGAAAACTATCTTGAGATAGATTTTTACTCCAAAAGCATTTTATTAAAATAAATTTGAGAAAAGTAAAAAAAATCTGATTTAAATAAAAAAAATCTGATTTTTTTTTTTTAAATCATTGATTTTTATTCACCCTGACTGGAGATCATACAACCCCGGAATGCTGCAACTTTTGTAAATACATGCTGGTTCCCAAGCAGATGGATTTTAATGACATGACTATGGAAATGCTGGGATGGTCATACGTGTGAGGACTGGCCGTAGGTCACCTTTTTCAGTGCCATTGTAACATCAAACAGTCACTAAATGAATAGTTGTAACTCGAGAACTATCTATACTGGGCAATACCAGTAGTGAGGACTGAAGGCAAAATTTGGGCCAAAGGACAAAAATAAGAAGCATTTAATAAGCTGGCTAACCTATTAAAGCAGGGGTCACCAACCTTTCGGACCTCAGGGACCACTAAATTCATAATTTTAAATCCCGCGGACTACTAATATGATTTTTTAAAAAAGATACAATAGTATTTAGTGCAATATAAAAAATGCAAATAATTTTTCTGCGGACCACCAACATTTTCTCACGGACCACCAGTGGTCCACGGACCACTGATTGGCGACCACTGTATTAAAGCACACCAGGAAATTAAATATGAGAATATTTTCATTAGCCAAAAAATCCTTTTTTAAAAAAAAAAAACGTTTTCCTTTTTCACTGGGGAAGAAAGAGTGACGAACGAACCGAGCGATCCAAGCCAAAGTTGAGACACAATGCCTACCAATAATTCAGAATGGCATTCAAGCCGGCAAGGCTTTGAATAGCAAATGACAAATAGTGAAAACTCGGAGAATACAGGTCAGTGATTCAGCAATAATTTTGCTTTGTGTTCTCCTGCTTTGAAGATTGTTTCTGAACTGGCATTTTTATTGCATAACAAAAGGAGCGCAAAAATGCACAATGCTATCATTGTAGTATGTTGGCGGATGAAGCGATTCAGACAGGCAATAACAAAACAAAAGCTTTCACACAGCCCTAATCAAAAGAGTTGATTGCCAGTACATAAATACATCTCCAGCTGCCTGAAGGTTTTAGTGGGAAGGAGAGACAATGGACACAGGCAAGAGACAAGCAGGAAGATCCCAGAAAAAAAAAAAAAGATCTTAATCAATGCAACTATCTATCAGCCCTGAGTTGGTGAATAAGGCTCATTCCTGCGAGTATTTTATTAGTAACGGTACTGAGTCTTTGAAGATTTTTTGGCGTGTATCCGTTTGTCTCTCTGTGTGAGATGTTATCTTCTATTATTTGGTGTGTATGCAGAGGTGGGTTTCAGCAGGTTCTGACCAGTTCTGGAGAACCGGTAGTGGAAATTTTGAGTAGTTTGGAGAACTGGTAAATACCACCTCTGACTGGCCCCACCCCCATCTATTCTCTGCCTCCCGAGTCCCAGGTGATTGGGAGGAAATGGGGATTTTGCAGTATCTTTCCCCTGGAGTGGGGAGGGAATGGAGATTTTACACTATACTTCCCCTGCCACACCCATCAAGCCATGCCACACCCATCAAGCCACACCCACAACTGGTAGTAAAAAATTTTGAAACCCACCACTGTGTATGTGTGTGTGTGATATTATCTTATAGAGCAGAGGTGTCAAACTCGCGTCGTCGTCACATGACATATTGCGACTTTCCCCCCTTTTCCTAAACTG